TCTTCTGCTTCAGCTCCCGCAGAAGCCGGCGAGACTGCGGGAGGGAAGGGCGAGAGATCAGAGCCCCGCAGGCGCCCGGAGGAGGTGGCAGAGCAGGAGGAAGGACAGAGACACAGAGGGGACGTCTAGACTACAGGTTTTGTTGACAGACACTGTCGACAAAGCTTCCGTCGACAAAGAGCATCTAGTTCAGTGGTTCCCAAACTTTCTGGCATCACGCCCCCCTTTTCGATTTTTGAAAAAACCCTCCTGCCTCCTTCCAAATAGCAGCCAAACTTGTTGAGCAAAAACCCCCCAAAAACACGAAAAAAGGAACTGAACAGGGTAGCAAAACTTGATTGGGGGCGGGGGGCGAGGCTGCCTTGCACCCCCCCTGGAATTTCTTCACACCGTGGAAGCAAAGGGATCCGTATGTAGCCCTGGGGTGGCCCGTGAGCCTAGGCAGACTAAGCAGTCGCCTAGGGCGCCGCCAGCCCCGGGCGCCCGACCGATCGCGCCTTCCGCCTGGGGCGCCATCTGCCGCAGCCGGCCTCGGGCCGCTCTTGATGCAGCCATTAGTGAGTTTGGTTAGCCTGACTCACGCTAACTCTGAGACCTCACAACGCGAGAGCTATGGCAGGCGCTGTTTTCGCCTCTCGCCTCTCCTTCGTGCTTGAGATAAGGACAGAATGCTGACTCTAGTGAAGACTTGAGGTAAGGTGGCATCCGAAGGGAATTGTTATGGGAAGGGGAATAATTGTGTATTGTTCTTCTATAGAACGGACAGTATATATATTGTATCCGAGGGGTCGCCGTGTTCGTCTGAATCTGCAAAAGCGGCGAGTCCTGTGGCGCCTTATAGACTAACTGAAGTGTAGGAGCATGAGCTTTCGTGGGCAAAGACCCACTTCGTCAGATGCATGCACTTTGGTTAGTCTATAAGGTGCCACAGGACTCCTCGCCGCTCTTGCAGTATATACATTGCCTTCTAATTGTTTTGTATTTGACGAGCGGCATAGCAGCCGCTTCTCCCCTTGCAATATTGCTCCAATACACTGTCTCTGACTACTTGTTGCTCACAAACGCAGAGTGAAGGCTTGTTTTTCCTCCCACGATGTCCCCCCCCAGAGGGGTGCACCCCACCAGTTTGGGAATCCATGATCTAAACTACATCCAGTTCTGTCGACAAAGCCAGCCGCGTTGTCGACATGACAGTGTGGACGCAAAGGACAGCGTAGAGGCGATACCTCAATCAACAAAAGACGTTATTCCCGTAGAATGAGGTTTACTGCTGTTGACAAAACTACCCAGTTCGCTTGACATTATGGTGACAGAACTCGGCGGTAGTGTAGTTTTGTTGACAAAACCCTGTAGTCTAGACATACCCAGGGTGCCCGATGGCCCCCATGGACACTGAGCAGGCCAGTGGGCAAGAGCCCCGGGCGTCGGGCGCGTGGCCGGTGCCCGGGCTGCCGTTACCTTGTACCCTTTCCAGTAGGCGGAAATGGTAGCCGAGGCCTGATGGCAGCTCCTCTCCTGCTTCAGCTCGCCCCGGGCGTCGGGCGCGTGGCCGGTGCCCGGGCTGCCGTTACCTTGTACCCTTTCCAGTAGGCGGAAATGGTAGAGCTCCCGCAGAAGCCGGCGAGACTGCGGGAGGGAAGGGCGAGAGATCAGAGCCCCATGGGCGCCTGGAGGAGGTGGCAGAGCAGGAGGAAGGACAGAGACACAGAGGGGACGTCTAGACTACAGGTTTTGTTGACAGACACTGTCGACAAAGCTTCCGTCGACAAAGAGCATCTAGTTCAGTGGTTCCCAAACTTTCTGGCATCACGCCCCCCCCTTGCAATATTGAACTGGCATCACGCCCCCCAGCAGCTTCTCCCCTTGCAATATTGTCCCCCCCCC